ATCAGCTGGATCCATTAATCTCAGAGGACAGACCATCCAAATCAGTCCACCACCCCTACAGGGAGGAGGCAGCAAGCTTAACCATGCCTTCAGGACATAGTTACCTGACAATGACAAGGGCTGAACCTCCAATCCTCCCCAAGCTGCTTTGTGCAGAAAAGAAGGTCCAGTGTATGTCCTTTTTCATGCATTGGGCCCATTACCATTTGAGACAAACCCATGGTTATCATGGAGGCCATGAAGACCTGAGTCTGACTTAGGGATCACTGGATTGCCAGATGCGATTGTCGCACCAGTGGAGGGTTTGGGGGGCATTCAGGAGTGGGCGGTGATGTCCCCGATGTGATGACATCACACAGAAGTGACATCATCATGTCAGCAACGTCAGAGGCAATGCTCTGTTTTTTCACAGACTCTATGGTTAAAACTGGGCTCAAACCATAGAGTTTCACAGAAAAAGTAGAGCATTGCCATGTGACGTCACCGATGCGATGATGTCAGTTCTGCATGACATCATCGTATTGGGGATGTCGCTGTACAGTGTCGCTGATCAGGGGTGGGGCTTCTTCCACCAGCCAGCTGGCTGGTGGCAGGCAGAAACCCTGAGAACTGGGGGATTCCCCACCCAGACCAGGGATATGGGAACCCTAGGCTGACCCGACATGCTAGCTTTGGTGTTTTGGGTGGATACCATATAATTTTATAAGTTATCTATCAGCAGTTTAATATCTTAGCAATTATGTTTTCTGATCCTATCATCTGATGCTTATTAGTTCTTACAGACTAGGGTCAAATCAGTTGAGTGGTTGACATTACATATAATTTGCTTAGCTGAATGGGCCAAATATGTTCCTATTGATAGCATGTGCTAAAAATGGCATCTTTCTAATGGGTATGCTTAGAGCATGGTTGAGGCAGCAGACATTCAACTACTCTGGCCTCCCCTGTTCATGGCCCCTTTCCAGTGCCCTGCTGCTTTAGATAACATTACTTGGGCACTGGAGATTTTTATGCACCTGACATGAGGTATAGGTCCTTTCTGTTATTGTTTATTGTGCCATCAGTTGTTTTATTGGTTTTATCACTTTTATTGTTTTATGAATCTTATGTTGTAAGCTGCCCTGAGCCCACTTGTGGGACAGGTTGGGGTATAATGAATAAATCATCATCATCATCACCGCTTTATTTCTTGTCAGCTTCATCACCTTTAGTGTTGTTGCCAATTAGGAATTAGAAATTAGGGTCAGGAATGTCTACTGAGGCAGCAATCTAGAAGCCATACCTTCAGTCGGACACTGAAATATCTCCCTGCTATTTATTTGATTTGATTTGTGACTCCACCCCATGCAACAGGGCTCAGAGCAGGGGGACGGGACATTTCCAGTTGAACAACATTACAATCCAGTTAAACTATTTAAAAAATCTTAAAGTTCAATAATTTACAGCTTACAGATGGCATGTAGAGTCTTCACCCCATAGGGGGAAAGGAAAGGGCAAGATGTACTTCATAATCCATTTGCAAGATGTACTACATAATCCATCTCTTAGCTCAAGAAACATCTGTCTCCACCAAGATGTCCTTGTGCACTAGTTGAGGTTCTGCTGCCTGCTAGCTCCTTCCCCTCAGTAGCTTCCCTGACATCAGGGCCATGCCTTTTCTGTTATAACTCCCAGTCTGAAAAATGGGCTTCCTAGGTAGAAATATGGTGTCATCTGTAGAAATTTTCAGGTGTTGCAAAGTCATTCTATTTGCAAGGGCTTTTAATGGGATATAGACTGAAGGTATCTTTTAGGGAAGGAAGGTTTTTTTTAAAAAAATATTCTGCATGTTTTAAATTGTGATTTGTTAGCCACCTTGAATCACAGTAAAATGTTATGTTAAGACTATGTTAAATATGCCAGCATCAGTTTATCCACCACTGTCTCCTACTATAGATAATGTTTCCATCCACTGCAAGCAAGTACACTCACAAAATTATTATAAACTATGCTTTCTTGGCTGCCAGCTACTGCAGCCTGAAATTGCTTCTGGAATTCTAATTATTCTCTGCTCACATCTCCTAATCTGAAACGACTCACTGAATGTCTGGCATGACTCCATAGGTGTGGTTCTGCCAAAAGATGTGGACTAAAAGAATCTTTCTCCTAATGCTTCTCACTATCTATGCTAATCCCAGAGTATCTCATGCTTCTTGCCAAATTTCCAGGAATCTTTAAAACTAGTGCTCCTGTTTTGTTTGTCTTATATATGGCATGCAGGTAGCTCCATATATTAAACCTCTGTTGTAATGCTTTTTAAAACTGGAATTTCATTGAAGACACTGAGACCTATTCATATTTTTTAAATATCAGGTTTATATTCCTTTAGCCAATTAAACTTCAGAAATCACAGATTTCTGTGATATAATGTTATAAATAACATTCAGTTGAAACAAAGGATCCATTACTTGTGGCATAAGGCAACATCTTTTCCCTAGTCTTAAATAGGTGGTAGATAAACAAGTTACCTGAACAGGATGTAATAGCAAATGGTGTACTTAATAACTAAGTAGCAAAATGCCACTAGAAGCCCAAAACATATTATAAATTAGGGTCAGGAAGAATGCACATTCCAATAGTATTCACTGAGTGTATATTGTATGGAGTCTCTATTTAAATGAATCTACAAATCTTAATTTCAGCCTGGAATCACGGCCTCTTGCGTTTTCCACATACCTGAACAATCTCAGACAGTCTATACACATCTGAGATTAAGAGAAACAGCCTCTAGGTCAGAGGTAATGATGTTCTAGGTCAGAGGTAATGATGTCCAACATTGGCTTCTCTTATGTTATTATGTTTGTCAAGCCTAATTACTGATACCGTTAATTTTTAAAATGTGTTACTTTCAGGGGTATTTTGGGGCAGGAACGCACAGGAACGGAGTTCCGGCTAGCTCCCGAGTTGACCACGCCCAGCAGGAACTCATTAGCATAATAGGCCACACCCAACAGCAGAAACTTATTAGGATTGGCTACGTTAGGGGTGTGTGGCCTAACATGCAAAGGAGTTCCTGCTACAAGAAAAGCCCTGGGTTTTGACAACAAACAGGGTAAACAGAATAAGAAGCAAAAGGAGGGTGTGGCTGGATGACTACACTTCTGGTAACATTAGCCTTATATGCTAATGAGCTGTGTTGTCAGAGGTGTGGCTTAATATGCTTATGAGTTTCTGCTGTTGGGTGTGGTCTATTATGCTAATGAGTTCCTGCTGGACTTTTTCTACAAAAAGAGACCTGGTTACTTTATATATACCTGGAATATAAACTGAAATATAACCCCTAAATTTAATCACTGTAGCGTTAGAGGAAAAATGGATAGATAGTCCATTAATTCATGTAATAAAGAGTCAAAGACAGGTAAAAAAAATTCTGTTGTGCTATAATAGGGGTATACAGTTTACACATTTTCTTATAAACTTTATTTCAGTATTTCAGAAAGGGCATGATTACCATTATAACAAAATTTCAGGGGTATTGATGTCATTTCATTAATCTGTTTCAGTTAATTTTTTCAGGTTTGGAAATATTGGGTAATGGTAGAACTATTTACTGTTACTATTTTCAATGGGTAGTAGACTGCCTATTGACAACCATGGAAGTTTAAAGGACGTTTAAAGTCAGCATCGGCAATTTGGTGTCCCAGCCTTGGCACTCCTCCTTCACTGCTCCTGTGGCCTCTGCTGTCTGTGAGGGAGAGTTCACCACCTGGTTGGCTGCTGTTGAAGGGCTCCAGCTAGCTCTTCTTCCTTCCCTACCTGTTAGTAAGCTCCATGAAGCCAAAACATTTCCAAAATTTCAGGAGATCATGTTTTGGGTCATATTGCCTCTGGAATATCCGAACAGCAAATCTGGGACAATGTTTTGCCACTGGAATACCCAAACAAATATCTAAAACTCTAATACAGTCTCTGATACAGACCAGGCCATGGTTAAAGTTGGGTGACTCAGGCTAGCCTGATCTTGTCAGATCTCAGGAAATAAGCAGCATCAGCCCTCATTAATACATGGTTGGAAGACCACAAAGAAAGTCCAGGGTTGCTACACAGAGGCAGGCAAACCACCTCTGAATATGTCTTGCCTTCTGGGTGTCCACAAATCAGCTGCAACTTGACAGTACTTTCCACCACCACAGCTAAAGTAAAGAATGATATTTGTCTTCCATGAGCAGATTTCATCTAAATGGATGCAGGCTTCGGACTGCGCAGCACTTTGCAACAAAACTAAATTCTTTTACTAGAAAATAACTGAATTATCACCTATAACATAATCCAGTTTCTATTAATAGTTTGTTTGCTTATCATACATGACAAGGAACATTTACCAAAGCCAGAGATTCATCAAAGCCAGAGTCTAAAACATATTCTGGTAGCAATATAAATACAACAAACCATTTATTTTGGGATTAATTTTTAGGAATATGTTTCTCTCAGCCTAACAAATCTCAAAGGATTGATGTGAGGATAAAATGGAGGGTAGAAAATCCATGCAAAACTTGGAGTAAGGGCAGGATAAAAATGTGATTGAAAAACAGAAAGGTCTAAAATGGTAGTGCTAGCACTGTCAGTCATGCTTTCAATTTTACTGGAAATGAAGAGATATCTACACATTCTAGATTTTTAGATTTTATTTGCACTTTTTGGACTGTAGTTCTTATTGTGATTGCAACAATCACATTAAATATATATATACATGTCTATTATAGAGCATGGATCTCATTGTAGAGGGCTACTTTCAGCTTTGCCGGGGTATAGTTTGTAAATAAAAGCAAAATACATCAAATTCCGCTACAACTATGGAGACCTGTTTTTGTTTTTTGTACACACCTGCTGCTCTGTGAGTATTAAACCAAGGCTGGAACATCTTTATTCCTCAACGAACCTTCTGGTCCTTCCTGAGAATCCGACCATGACTAGGATTCATCACTATTGCCCCAAACGTGGAGCCAGAATATTATGTGTGTATGGATAATCAAAAATTGACATCAGCCACAGAAGAAATCTCCTTGTTCTTGAAGGATTTTACACGTTTGCCTAAGAAACAAACACATGTCAGGTACTATGCTGTTACAGGCTAAACTGTACAAAACAAAACTGGAATTAGCAGCAGAACTTTTTGGTTTACAGAAAAGATACACATTGTCTTAAACAAATTTAGTAATATTTCTTGCCAAAATGCATGATAGAGAAATGTTTCCCAAATAAGGAAATATATTGCATATTAATATAAACAACTTGGAGCAGAGCAAGAACATTCACTAAACTGAAGTAAAGCAACAACATTTCAGTTCTTACTGCAGGCTAACAGGAACAGTTAACTGAAAGTAAAATGGAGAGCAGGAAAATAAAAAATACCTTTTCTATATTGTTTCAGCAAGCATTTTGATTACTTGTTTCTAATTTGCTAATGGGAGGACTTGTTTGATTGATATGTCTTTATCTGTTGTATATTGCATTTGTGTACTGAGTTATTTTTAATGATGTTGTAAGTCACCTTGAGAATGGAAATGTGGAATCCAAATTGATAAATAAATAAATAAGAATACAAGGAACTATGGCACAATTCAGCAACAGTTAGTCATGGGTTCTGTCCTACTGATAACTGGAATTTACAATTGACTTTTGGTGCATTGTGTTTGACCATATTGCCTATATTATTTTCATTCAAAGTAAGAGGGGAGTAAGGAATACATGAATGCATCATGTATGTATACATGAATCTTCAAATGTCCATAAAGCAAGTACATAAAGATAAACAATATAAAGTATGTTGCAATCAACAAGTAGATCCAGTCCTAGATCTGAGACATACAACAAGAAATAGGCTGCAGTCAACTCATCCTCCAGATTATTCAATGAGTTTTCGATGCTTTCATCAGGACTGCAAATGGGGACTCCCAAAGAGGCACAGTCACAGGAACTTCTCAGCCAGTAATGCCTCCAAACTGTCTTATTGCACAGCAATGTCTCAAAAATGCCTTATTTTCCTTTGTTCATGATGGATACATGTAACCTGATTCTATAGGTGTTCTTCCATCTAAAGAGCCGTCTTTACATTCATTATGGACATTTGAAGATCATGTTCTTCAGTCCATTGAAATTGTGAACATAGAATCTGTGAAGTATTTCTTTTGGGAGTGTTAACTAGTAAATGTTAGATATTGCTTTAAATCTCCAGCCTATTTATTGCAGTTCATGTATTTCATGTATTGAATACTGGTGTATATCTGAGAAATATTTGGAGCCTTATGTGATTTTAAGTCATATGTGCTTGAAAACTAAGCAAAGGAGCATTTAGCAATTTCTGTTGCCATTTATTATGCTACTAGGAGAAAACTGGACCATGAATAGCTTCCAGATTCTACATAACAAAAATTCCAGACCACCAGCTTTAATTGCTTGGTGCACACTAGGTTTTACAGAAAACACATACAAAATATGATGGTCAGCAGAAAAACATTTCAGCTAGAAACTGAAAATAGCTGCAAGTTTTCTATTAGTTTTCATTTATACTGGGGGGGGGGGTGTTAGAATTTTTACTTGTGATTGAAACTTTAGCAATAATTATTCCCTCTTTGAACCAGAAACATACCATTTAATATAAACTGACAAAGTGATATACTTCTGAATTACCAGTTTCCCTGCTTCCAGTATGAAGTACTGCGTTTATATTTGATTCCACCATATTGATTTAGCTAAGGAGCAAACCAGATGTGCCATCTGGAGATCTTTCATCAAATCGCCCACTGCTCCCCCCACCCTTTACATGTAAAAGTAGTCTCGGGGAGCCAGCTAAGGCCCCTAGGGGTTCACTGTTCTCACTCATGACATTTTCCCAATTTAAATACCTCCCTCAACTGCTATTCACTTCATGATGGAAAACACAAATATGCCATATGGATATGGGTATATATTTTTTCCCTTTGGGGCAAATAGCAACTTCAGGAAGGGGAACAATTAAAATGGGGAGAATGGCAATAAGAAAAAGATTCAAACATCACTTCCCTTCCCTTCCTCAATTTCGGCTCCCCAGGTGCTACAAACTTTTTAAAAACCACAGGAAATCTGATTATGGATCTCCTGCCATTTAATCTAGTTGTACCCTCAAAGAATGTAAAATAAAAAGCAATAGCATTTTCAAAAATGACCTTCATGTAACAAGATGGAAATATAATGAAACAGTTAATTACATATTTCAATGGGCAGACTTTTTCACATTTTAGATGTTTGACTCTTAACATCTGTAAATTCTGCTTTGCTAATGCAGGTTCCCTGCATTGTTGGGAGCGAAATTGTTCTAGTGCAATTAGATAAGAGAGAATGCTATTAAAATTCCCCATGAAATTTTTCTTATACTACAAATGGACCACAGGAGAATAATGTGAAAAGCAGGTCTGGAAACAATGGGCTCAATCCTACCAAAGTTAAGCACTTCCAAAGAATAAAATGTTGCATAGGAACAGATGTTGAAGAGAATGACCTATTCAAAAAAAATTGAGGCCAATTATATGTACTAAGACTATAGAAAGTGCTCCAGCCATTTCATACTTACTGCAATTTCTTCGGTAGTGGGATTGGGTCCCCCCCCCTCTAATAACCATGAGATTTTGAAGAAAAAGAAAAGTGTGTACATTTTCTCAGCTGAACAGAACTGTCCCAAACTAGCCACAATGCCTAATAAATATGATAGCTAAGTGGGACCTCCATGTTCCGAGGCAGTCTGAATACCAGCTGCTGGAGGGGCAACAACAAGAGACATTTTGGCCTTGATATCTTGCTTTGTAAGGCTTCCCAGAGTAACTGGTTGGCCCCTGTAGAAAACTGGATGATGGACCAGTTGGAACTCCAGCAGGATTCTTATTATGCATTGTATTGAAATCTTTCCTGAAGAAAATCCGCTGAATTATTACCAGCAGAAGTAAAAAGTGCATTGGTGGTAACAAGGTCCTAGGTACATTTGGGACCACAGTGTATAGCCAACTGACCTGACATACTTCTGTTTCTATTATGTTACTGTACATTGGTGTCCCCTCAAAATTGACTCGGAAACTCCAACTGGTCCAGAATGCCACAGCTGGGCTATTAATGGGAGCTAGATGGATGCATATTACTCCCATTCTCCTGACATTCCATTTGCTCCCCTTCTGTTACTGTGCTCAATTTAAAGTTCTGGCAATTACATACAAAGCCCTTCATGGCCTCGGCCCATCTTATTTGTGGGACCACCTCTCTCTCTATGCTCCACCATGATATTTTGCTCAAGTCAGCAGGGGCTTCTGCAGGTGCCAACCTGTAAATGGGCAAAATTAACAACCGCCTGTGCTTTCTCCATTGTGGCTCCCACCCTGTGGAACGGCCTGCCCAAGGAGGTCAGGAAAGCTCCCACTTTGCTGGCCTTTCACAACTACGCAAAACTGAACTATCAAGAAGGCTTTTCTGCATAGGTGAACAGGGTTGCAGTGCACAAAATGGTTTTCAAAAACTGCTTCAATAAATGATTTAAGGACTGTGGTGTATACTGCTGTGTTTAGCTTATTGTAAGTAGGATCCTATTTATGCAACTTCTGTATTGTTTAATGTGTCATGTGAATACTTATGCTATGCTTCATTTTTTTCTAGTAGTTCCAGACTTCTAAAATCCTAATGCATTGGTTATTGAATGTCCCATTTTCTTGTGACTGTGTAAGCCAGCAAGCCTGCTATGGTGTTTTTATGGTGTTATACTGTACCTGATGCAGTGTGCCAACAACGGACTGTGCTTGAAACTGACATGCTGAGAGCACCCGGTGAGAGTGCCTACCGAAGACCGTGTTTTCCAATGGTTTCTACTCCAGAGGTGTTCCCGTGTCCAGTGCACGCCATAGATCAACGCACGTGGTCGCAGAAAGCACAAAACGCCATTTCAAACCAGCCGCATGGTCACCTAACTCCAGGGCCCCCTCCCCCTCGCACCAACAAAGCTGCACATACTCACAAAGACCAGGTATTCAGCCTGGCCGCATGGACATGAGTCACCCATCTGCTTACTAATACCCCTTGCCCAGGTGTCTTGATTGAGTTAGCAACTAGATCTCAAATTGCCCTCCAGTTTCCTGGCCCATCCAGAGAAATACAGTAGCCAATCACTGACCTTTTGGCTATGACAGAACACAGTATCATAGGGGAGGTCCCCTGGATCCAGCTCCTCCTCTAGACCCCTGTAGATATAATCAAGAACACACCCCATGCTCTCTCTCTCTTGCTTGCTCTCTCGCCTCTCTCTTGCCCGGGACCTTGGAACTCCCCATCGCTCTCAAACAACGCCCTCTACAAAACCTGCTTTACCTCTTAAGCCCAGCTTTCTATCCCACATCCTACCCTTCCTTCTTTACGCTCTAGTAGTGCACAGCTAGAGTCTCTTTGGCACGTGGTCTTAGCTGGTCTGAGTTCATTCGCCACTCCTTTTCCAATTTTCTCCCCATCCTTACCCTTTTGCTGGAGGTTTGGAGCTACGCAGTTGCAGCTAGGAAATTATAACCCAGAGCATCAACCACAATAACTGTGTTGTATTATTCTATCTTTAATTTCTTAGTTCTTGTGTGCTGTGATTGTTGTATGCTATCGAGTGAAGTGTGTCAGTAAACTATCATTATTACTAAGGAAGTTTGCCTCAGTCTTTCATTGGGAACATCGGAAACAGTGCCATCCTCCATAAACATAGACGGAAGAATCCCGATAATAATAACTGTACCGGTTGTTTCCTCTTAAGAAGCAATTCGGCTAACAACTGTACTGGCTCACTATATGTAATCCACCTTGAGTCCCTGTGAGAAAGGTGCACTAAAAATAATGTAAAATAAACAAACAAATAAATAAAAAGACAGGAGTATCTCTCTTCTCGTAGAACACTTTAATGACAGCAATTTGAGGTATATATCTTTACCTTTAAGGAAAAAATGTTGTAAATGTTTAAGTTCATTAAAATGAAACATTATAATGGGCTAGCCACCAGGCTCGTTGCGAAGTCAATGCAAAAAGCTCTAGCAAGACCACAG